CGCATGTGAGGACTGTGAAGGTGCATGACGGCAGCTCCTTGTCCTCTCTCTCCAACCGCAGGCAGGGTGCACAGCTGTTTGTGTGATTCCTTGCCACATGAAGGCTGAATGCACAAGTCAGTGTTCCTGGCACAGCTTTGGTGTGTGTAGCAGTGTGGTTTGGATCGCCACAGCAGTTCTGAACACTCACCCCCACATCCTAAGCTAAGCATGATACTCTGACCAAGCTCTTGGTCATAGTCAAAAGTGAGGAAATGGTTTAGTGCAATTTTTTTTTCCTCCCAAAATCTCCTTAGGCTACAGAAGTGCTCTAATGCATTATTGCTAAATCTTAAATAAGGCTACAGTTATTGATGTTGTTGAAACATTTATCTATACTTTTCACAGGTATCAGTCCTTTGTATTGATGTGTTATCTCTACTGAATACTATAAGAAACAAACACAGCAAAAAAATCATTCACAAAAATAGAGTGAAAGCAGACATCCGGCAGAGCAGTTAAGGATCTGCTTCGGATGCCTGTATATGGGCCTTGAATTGAGTCTAGGTTGAGCGCCTCTGCCTTCGAAACAATGAAAATTTAAATGAAAAGCTAAAGTATTGTGTATTTCAAATAGGGTAGCATAGCGGAGGCTTTGATGTGTCTTTTGCTATTTTCATAATTTTAGCATTTATGTATGTGTGTTCAGAAAATGCTGACAGTAAATCAGGAAATCCAGACTTATTGACTTATGAAATTAATATTTCCTAATCAGATGACAGCTTCGTGCATATCACAGCACATATGAGGTGAGTAAAGTGGGAGGAAAGGTGAACAGGTTGGTTTAAGGAAATACATCTCTAAAAAAATAAAGGATGCGCTTACATAGCATTAGGAGAAACGATTTTACAAATAGAAAACTACTATCCTCAAAGCATCATCAGGGCCACGGAAGTGAGAATTTCCTCAGAGTACTGTGCCCTGGAGGTTGGCAAAGGGGAAAAGGGAGACATCTTTTATTAAAAAAAAAAATAGGACAGGTGAGACAATCTTTTGTCAGAATGCCTGAGTTTGAGTCCCAGGTCTACTTCTGATTCCAGCTTCCTGTTAATGCAAACCTTGAGAGGCAACAGGTGAGGATGACTCAAGTGTTCAGATCCCTGTGACCCGTGTGAGACACTAGAATTCTGTACCAGCTCCTGGTTTGGTCTGGCCCAGCCACAGTCCCAACCCCAACCTCGCTGTTGAAGCATTTGAGAAGTGAACCAACAGGTAGAAGATTGATCCACTCTGTCTTTCAAATGGGCAAAATGTATATGAACATTTATGTACAATTTTTCCAAGGATTTCTTTATACAGAGAGGAGGAGAGACAGAGAGGAAGATCTTCTGTTCGCTGATTCACTTCCCCAAGAGGCTACAGTGCCCAGAGCTGAGCTGATCTAAAGCCAGGAACCAGGAGCTAGGAGCTAGGAGCCTCTTCTGGGTCTCCCATGTGGGTGATTGTCCCAAGGCTTTGGCCCATCCTTGATTGCTTTCCCAGGCCATGAGCAGGGAGCTAGATGGGAAGCAGGGCTGCTGGGACATGAACCGGTGCCTGCATGGGATCCCAGCGCATGCAAGGCAAGGATTTTAGCCACTAAGCTATCACGCTTGGCCTTTAAATATATACATATACATGTATACACACACACACACACACACACACACACACACACACAATTTTTAAAATTGTGGTTTGAGAGAAAGACTGGCAAAGAGGACTCTGTCCTTTGGCTCTTTTCCCTATGTCTGCAGTGATGGTAGGTGTAGCGGCAACTTGATAGAACAGGGAATCAAACATCCATAACATCTTGCTGTTATCACACTAGCTTGATTATGTGCATCCAAGCAGGAAGTCATCTAGGTGTCTTCAGTGCCCAAGGATGTTAAAAAAATGTAATTATGACATGTAAGAAGACCACACACAGAAAATCAACAGCTGAAATTAAAACAACATGTTACAGTTCTTTGCCTGGATGCTGTTCCAATTGAAGCACATGAAGAATCCAGACATAGTTCTTATACAAAAGAAGAATCCATGGATGGAAGCCCACTGGGTATCAAATACACTTGCTATAATTTAAACCTTAAGAAGACAGCTCAAAGCTGGAGTATAATTATGTCCCAGACACGGGCACCCCAGATAGTGAGAAGGATGCTGAGGTTGGGTTATCAAAGCCATGCTGCGTGCACCGTGCACTCTGTCCATGGTACTAAGCGGTAAGGATGGCATCACTAACAAGACCTGTTCCCTACTGATAGCATTATCTCACTGAACAGAATGTCAGCATTGATTTCTAATGGCCAGAGATGCCTATTCAAGGGCAGAACCTCTAAATGATTCTCAGAAGGCTGGGAAACAATCATCCAGAACTATTAATCTGACTTGTTGGCTGGTGGTTTAGAGTGGGCGTTAGCTTGTAGAAGCACTGAAAAGCTGTGTCTCATCACAACCAGCCTATCTTCAATGAGAGACCATAGAATTTTTTTATTGTGGTTGTGACTTGGCCATTCCCTTTAAAAAAATCATTGAGCATTTACTGTGTTCAAGAATATGAACAAAATGCCACACAAGGCTCAATTGTCTAATGCTCCTCTTTTGTGTGCCAGGATATGGAGACACCAGTTTGTGTCCCCACTGCTTCACTTTCTACCAGCTCACTACTTGTGGCCTTGGGATGGCAGAATAGAAATGCCCAAAGCTTTGGACTCTGCACCCACATAAAAGATCTGGAAGAAGCTCCTAGCTCCTGGCTTCAGATTGGCTCAGCTCCAGCCACTGGGGCCACTTGGGGAGTGGACCAGCATAAGAAAGGTCTTTTCTCTCTGTCTGTCCTTTTCCCTGTAAAATCTCCCTTTGCAATGAAAATAAATAAAGCTTATGTGTTTTTTTAAAGAACAGTGGCCTCAAAGAGCCATTCATTTTATAGATAAAATGGACAACTAAGGAGCATTTGGCACAACAGTTAAACCACCACTTGCAGCATTCCATATCCCATATCAGAGTGATTGTTTTGAGTACCAGCTCTGCTTTCCACTGCAGCTTTTTCCTTTGTGCAGCCTGAGGGAAACGAGGTGATGGCTCAAGTTGGATGGGTCCCCGCCATCCATGTGCAAAACCTTCGAATGAGTTTATTGTTCCTGGCTTCTGCTTAGACATGCTGTTGTGGGCACTCAGAGTAAACCAGCAGTTGAGATGCCTCTGTGTGTGTGTGTGTGTGTGTGTGTGTGTTGCTGCCGTCAAACAAATGTAATAAGCAAAACTTTCAAATGTGCTAAAACTTTTCATAATATTTACATTTACGTTTATATTACAAGGAGTTTTGAAAATACAGTTGAAGAGGCATCAGAAGAAGGTAGAAGCCCGTAAATATTTTTCCAAGGTTGAGAACTAAACTAAGTGAGCAAGTCTGGAGCACAAGGAATAAACAGAGTACTATCAGTCATCTACCGCGCTTAGGAGGGAGCTCCCATGTGCAGCCTAGAGCCGCAGTGATGTCCTGCAGGATGACACTGACGCAGTCCTCCTCTTTTGGAATCCTTATTATATTACAAGAAAAAGTGCCTTACCCTGTAGTCAGTAGAGGTTGGAAACCATTGAAAAACTGTAAGCAGACAATGTTGTAATTTATAAAGATTGCGTTTCTATAGAAATGCAGAATGGTTTGAGAAAAAGAAGGCTGGGGTGGAAACAGCAAACCAGAGATGGGAACTTTCTGGTTAAGGTTGTGGCAGTGTGGATGGCACTGTGGCAGGGTCTCCTGGCTAATCAGGATGTGGGAAATGCTACCAAATAAGCTGGTATATCTCCCAGAATTCTGGCTCTGCTTATCTGGGTGATATGGTCAGTTTTGGGAGGGCAGGGAGTGGAAGACCAGAGTGAGTGTGAGAGTAGAGTTTGTTTCAGGAATTGTAGGCTGATGCTTGTGAGAGAGCAGGAGAAGACATTCTATTAGCAATTAGGTTCACAAGGGTGATGGACTCTAGTTAAACTGTTAATGTTTATCTACATGAACTTATGCAGAAATGTCACCAAGAAGAATTCACGTCCATGTCCCAGTATGATAGCCATCTCTTTCTCTACTGACAGTCTTTTTTCAAACCAAACTAGATAAAATATTTCAATATATTCTAGTGAAAATTATTTGACTTTTGCTCAAACTTGGCACTTACTTGAGAAACCACTTTCCACACAACCTTTCCTCTTTTTGTGAGTCTCAGGGCCAGGAGAGGAAGGAGGTTGGCTTTCATAGCAAACCTGCTGTTCCTGCTAGTCTACTAGCTCATCACTGACTCAGCACTTTCTTGCTCTTTTCATTTCTTTGTAAGCAGTTATTTACTAATGTCCACAATACTCCCAACAAGATGACTTTTCCTTTCCAGTCAACGTTTAGGTTTTGTTAAAATCCATTTCACAATTTCTGGGGCCAGCACAGTGCTGTATCAGGCTTCAAAACAAATTTAATCATAGAAATAATCCAATGAACTAGTTACAATTATTGTTCTCGTTTTTCAGAGAAGAAAGGTAAAACACGAAGAAGTTAAGAAATTTCTCAAGGTCATGGCTAACATAGGTGGCTGTTCTAGCCTCTCAACTTGCATTATCCATGATGGGAGCTTGAGCTTTGCCCCCTATTCTATGTGCTTCCTGGTAAAATTAACTATTTAAAAATAAAGTGTGACATGGACCAGTGCCTTGTAGGCTTCCAATGAAAGGACAACTAACAATAACTGTTCCAAAAATGACTCTGTTTCCACAGACTCAAAAACCACAAGGTGAGTCCATACATAACAGCTGTTCTGGTTTGAGTACCTTCCCACATGCACACCCAACATTAATATTAATTACAGTGAGCAGGAAAATTATTTTGGGTAACATAACATTTGACAAATGTTTCCATAAATAAAGTCTTGGCAAAAAGCTAAAATATTAACCCTTTGCTAAAACTTCTATTGTGCTGTGTTGACTTTTTTAAAAAGGTGTTAACTGTGAGTTGGGAATTGACCCATGTGCGTCCCATCCCTGTTTAAATGGTGGCGCTTGCCGGGATGCTGCAACGGCTTACTTCTGTGACTGTACTGCTGGATTCACAGGGGACAACTGTGAGCTCAACCTGGATGAGTGTGCCAGTCAACCTTGTCTCCACGGAGGGCTGTGCCTGGATGGGGAAAACAGGTATGCTTCCTTCTACAATTTGGACAATTGGCTAAGAGAGAATCTATTTACCAAGACCTAGGAAGGCACCTTAGACAGCTTCTGGGAGAATAAAACTAAGGGACGAGTTTATTTCGGTACAAAACATTCTTGAAATCCATGTGTCAATTTTTCATAATACACATTGTCTGTGAGCAAATGTTGTAGCACTCTGGCAAATTTAGAGAATGTAAACCTTCAGTTTAAGTGGTGAAAATTTAAGAAGCAAGGTGGCTGAGTAGGAAAAACTCTCGTTGACTTCAGGCACAGACTGATACCAAACAACAACAAAGCAGGAACCACAGTCCCGGAAGCTGGGGACCAATCGAAAGAAATATGCAGTGGAGGCTAGTCAGAACAGAGATGCCTTCAGGCAGTGAGGAGAGAAGAAAGGCATGTAGCTGGTGTGTCATGAACTGCCAGAGGTTCCTGCCCCTTTATGGCTGATGTCCGACTTGGAAGCCCCATTTTCTTGGGAAAGGTGAACAGGGGCTGCCACACTCCATGGAGCTGTTGGCTTTCACCAGGGGAGAATTCCAATGTCCTCACTGATTTGAGTCTGACCTGGGAATCTAGTGGGGGCTGAGCAATTACTTTCCTCTGTGAAAAAAGAGCATATTGCTTCTCCTGCTCCTCCTACTATGGCACCAGTCTCAATTTACTGGAGCTACTTTTGTCCTGACTTGAAGAATGACAGGCAGCTCATGGGAGGGATGGAGCAGCTTGCAGGGTAGAAAGTGGCATCTTTGCATCCTGTGACTATGAGGATTCTGGGCCTAGGTCAAGGAACTGAGAAGAGCATGAGCTATGGTTGGGTTCCTGCACATGGTCTGACCATGGAAACTCAAGGTACTGGGCATAGATCACATTGAGGGCTTGAGGGACACGCCACCAAGTAGGTCAGTGTTCCATATGGTGTGCATGCATGACTGGGCAGGATGTGTAGCCATTGTGAGCCCCCCGTGGGGCCTGTGTCAGCTGGTTCACTTTGGTAAAGAGAAGAGCTAGGATTGTGAATGCTCCAGCCAGCTCCAGCATCTGCTCTGTCTGCTGCATGCACCCAACTTGGATGCCACTTCAGGCTCTTGGCTCACCTACAGACGGTGGCGAGAGCCTGCTGGCCCTGCATAGTACTCAGTCATAGGAACCCAGTAATAGTCTCAAGTACTCTATGTCCCAGAGAAGCAGATTTCCAAGAATAAGGCCTTCAGTCAGCCAGTCAATCAATCAATCAATCGAACAATCAAAAACAATAAACTCACCCCCCAGGGAAGATAACAAGTTATCCCCAGATATGTAAACAGCAATGTAGAAACTTAAGAAACATGAGTAAAAAAAATGCACTTGAAAGCCTTAACCACAGACTTGGTGAGTCAGAAAAAAGAAAATCTATTCTGGAAGAATACCTCAAACGAAAAGAAAGAAAAAAATGGAAGCATCGAACAAGGATCTGGGGTCTATGGGATATCAATTGTTTAAAAATTTAAATCTCAGCACTTCCTGAAGATACGGGGAAAAAGCAAACACAGGAAGCATATAGAATGTCAAACAGGCATGATCAGAAAACATCCTCACTATAACACAACATTTCAAACTTTAGAAGTAAAACATAGGGCCCAATGTGATGGCTCAATGCCTAAATCCTCACCTTGCAAATACCGGGATCCCATGTGGGTAGCAATTCTTGTCCTGACTGCTCCGCTTTCCATCCAGCTTATGTTTGTGGCCTGGAAAAGCAGCTGAGGATGGGACCCTGCAAAGCCTTGGGACCCTGCACCTGTATGGGAGATCTGGAGGAAGCTCCTGGCTCCTGGCTTCAGATTTGCTCAGCTCTGGCCTGCTGACTCAGAATACATATCTCCCATTTATAAATAAAGGAGGAATAAAAACCTTTGAAGATGAGCAGAAGTTGAAAATGTTGTCACCAGCTGGCCAGAAGAAATTACACAAAGCTTTGATTTGGAGGAGGGTCAGGGGGCATGTGCAAACAAAACAGCTCTGAAAACTTGCCACCTTGTATGCTCTTCAATCAAACGTTCCATGAATAATGCTCTGTTTTATTATTATTTTTCTTACTACCTAAGTTTTGAGAGGATAAACGCAAAGTCGACCAATATTACCGACTTTATTTTTATACAATGTAGCATAACATGATGTTATAAAGTATACAGGAAAGTCAGACACTATCTTCACAAACAGACCAAAGGGATCAAATGGGGTTTTTAGTTCCATGACTGAGGTCCACTAGCCTGCCTGCTAAGCCCTTGGGGACGGGGCTCTGATCTTTAAGAGCCTCCAGGTAGGCTTTTTAAATAAGAAAAGTACAGGATAAACAAGTGGAATAATGATTTCTAGCTTAACATCTGTGTTTGGTGGTAAACAGGTTTGTAATTGTGTTTTCATCCATGGGTATGCCAACTCCAAAATCCTTGTTTTATCTGTGCTGACTGTGCATATCCACTTTTCACATTTAAAATGGTTTTAGAGACTCTATTCAGTTAAAAGATCACCCTGGATGGAGTCAATAACTTTCTCAGCAGTTTTGAATTTAGGGATAATCAGATATTCCCCCACAATCAAAGAATAGTTAAAAGTGGAAAAATGGAAAGACTTGCAATGTGAAAATGGAAGAACAGTGTAAGTTGTTCTCTGGGTGCTTTTCTTGAGCTTTTCATTGGTTGTTATTTTTTATATGAGACCTTATCAGTGAGCTCTCTATATAAAAGAATGCCGGGATAATATAAATGAATCTCTACTGTCTTGAAAAATATTGATGATGTTTGCTACTCTTTGATATCAGTGTGTTCAGTACTTCAAGACCCTTGAGATACTGTGCTTGATCTTGAAATGTATTTGAATTTCAATATCACAGGTACTCTGGGTTATAGACACTATTATCTGCAATTTATGGATGATGAGATCGAAGTAAGCAGTCATGATTTCCAGATAATTTTGCATGAAACTGTGCTATAATTTTAAAACAATGATTAGACATTAATATGAAACATGTAATACTTCCAAGCTTACAGTAAAAATCCCTCAGAGTTTGAGGAGCCCCTGTGCTATGGTGATAGCCAGATGAAGAGGCAGGATACACACGATTCATTTCACTGTGACCAAGAGCGAATATGAAAGTTTCTTTCACTTTGCAGCTACACCTGCCACTGCTTGGGCAGTGGATACACAGGGACACACTGCGAGACCATGTTGCCTCTTTGTTGGCCAAACCCTTGTCACAATAATGCAACTTGTGAGGACAATGTTGACAACTACACTTGTCACTGCTGGCCTGGTGAGTGAGAAAAAATTTTTTTTTGGCATTTTTATTGTTATTGTTTGAAATATGAACAATTTTCCAAGAGGAAATGAAGCTAAAATTCTTACTGTTAATGATAAAAAACAAATCTTTCTTGTAGTTTTCAGTGTTGAGTAGTATTCTACGCCATCATTCATGGTGTCAGGCAGCATGATAATAATGATGGTCATGGATGATGTGGAAGGATATTTTGAACACAGATGTATTATCCCAGTCATTTACTGGGTCAATAAGAATATAAATTGACCAAATATGAGCTATCACTAGAAATTACATATAAGAGGTGATTGGATGTGCATGCTCAGATGAAACAAGAAGTGAAGGAAAAATAAACATAAGAGCATCATCAAAAACAGACACAAACAAAAACGAAGACAGCACATGAGACGATCTGAGATGGTTAACAGAAGTCGCTGTGGTATAAGAAGAACAAAGAAAGCATTATGGCTCCACAAGTCTGGCTGACAGAAAGTTTTGGCCAAGAAGTGAAAGGAAGACACGGAAGGCTTCATGGGACACAAGGAGAGAAAGGCAAAGGCCGTTTCTCTTCTGGGATACCTTTGCTGGCTCCTGGGATTGAGACTTGATATCTTTGGAAAGCCATTACTCAGCCTACTTCTCCTGTGTTATCCAGTCTGTCTGTAATACTCATCTCTCTCTCTATCTCTTCATCCTCCAGACAGTGGTCACAAATAATGAACTGATACCAATTCATTATTATTAACAAGAAGACCAATAAGATTCATTCTTTCTATTGTGTAGTCACTTCTATGGGCTTTGACATATGTATAATGTGCCATGCACACTATCACCTTGTCAAGCAGATTTACTGTCCAAAAATATCTTGTTCTCTCCCATTTCATCCTGTTAGATGGCAAAATCATAAGGCCTTGCCTGATAGGCAGCCATTCACCAGCATGATATCTATTGAGATGAAGGATTTTATGTCAAGAAGCCAGCACTCTTGAGGAGATGATAGTGTCTACAAACTGTGTCCTTTTTCTCCTGGCCAAAACAGCCTTTAAAGAGAAGAGCTAGCTACAGACAGAGGTTAGGAAAAGAAGAACCCAGTCCATTGATGATTAAGCAGGTTGTCAGGCTTTGTCCTGCTGATGTTCTCCTAAGGATGGAGTTCAGCAGTCTACAGCATGCGGCTGTGTACCCCTCAGCTGGGAGGGAGCCTGCTTTGCCAAGTAGTACTATAAGGTCTCTTCAATAGACGCTGTTGGGACACCTGGCTAATAGCATGTAGAAATAAGAAGCAAGACGCACACCTTTCACCATACACAACACTCAAATCTAAATGGATAAAAGTTCTAAACCTTCACTCAGAAACCATTGAACTTTTGGAAGAAAAAGTTGGAAACACTCTGTAAGCATAAACTTCTCAGAAAAATCATCAAAAGCAAGGGAAGTTAAGATCAAAACAAACAAATGGGACTACATTAAGCTAAGAAGTTTCTGCACAGCAAAGGAAACAATCAACAAAGTCAAAAAGCAACCAACAGAATGGGAGATCTTTTCACACTACGAAGGAGACAGGGCGCTAATTTCCAGAATATACAAAGAACTCCAGAACAACAATAACATCAAAACAAACTAATCAAGAAATGGTCAAGGGAAATGGGCAGACACATTACAAATGGCTAACAGGCATATGAAAAAAAATACTCAAGGTGCCTGGCAATAAAGAGAATTCAAAAACAACATTGAGGTTTCACTTAATGTCAGAAAGAATTGCCCGTATACAGAAAACTACCAACAACACCTGCTGGTGAAGTTGCAGAGAAAAAGGAACCCTTCTCCAAAGCTGGTGGGAATGCAGGCTACGCAGCCACTATGGAAGTCAGTACAGAGGACACTTAAGCAATTAAAAATTCACCTACCATATGACCCAGCATATCACATGTTCAACAGCCTGAAGGACAGCTTGACTACTTCCAAGTTCTGGCAATTATGCCATAAACATCCACATGCAGATTTTTGTACCAACATATTTTTACCTGCTCGTATAAGCACCAAGAATTACAGTTTCTGGATCATATAGTGAGCATATGTTAAACTTTGTGAGAAACTGCCAACATACATTCAAAAATGCTTGTACCATTTGCACATCCACCAGCAATGAATGAGAGTTCCCATACCTCTATATCTTTGCCAAACTTTCAGTATGGATGTGATGTGGCTTGTTAAATTTTAGGCAAGCAGGAACTCTTTAAAATGATATCTCCTTAACTGTCAATTTGATACACTCACCTACCCAAGATGAGTGTGTAGCGTCTGGAACCAGAGTGCATGCTCAGACCCTAGCCGCTATTGCATATCCAATTGGGGTACCACTCATGACCTCATAAACAGGGGCGAAAGGAAGGCAAGAGCTGTCTTTTCACTGCAGAATGTCCTAAAAAACATTACCCTTGCTTGCATTGCTTTCTGCATTCTTATACTTCAACTCTTACTTTTGGGTGAATCTTCTCAAGTACAGATACTGTCATTTTTTTTCTACTTGTTTATGAGCAATTTTTTGGCTCACTGTTGTATATTTTTTAATATGGAATGACCCACACCTGCTTGTGAGTGTATGTTTATTCTCCCCCATCTAAATAAATCCTGTTCCTATTTGCACCCACACACACAAAGAAAGCAAGCAAGAAAATGGGTAACATTAATCTTACATCACAGACCATCTGTCAATATTGATGTTCATTTTGGAAAATGTCTCGTTTCACCAACTGTTTAGTTATTAAGAGAATTTCACTGATAGAATCGAGATTTTACAATTTTACACATCTATTTTCTTTTGTGATCCATGGCGGGGATGTAATGATAAACTCATACATGTTCAAACTCTTAATTGTATAAGCATACTGATGCTCTGTAGCTATATGTCCGTCTCTCTGAGTAAAAGAGCCTCGGGATTGAGTCAATCCACTCAGTACTAAATTCTGTTTGAAAGATATCCTATTGCTACTACAATATCTTTGATAAAATATGTTTTCCAGGCAAGACACAGATACCTGAAAATTTAAAAAAAAAAAGACTTTTGAAATTCTTTTGCTTGGTAATCTCCATTTACGTTGTTTTATACTTTGAGAAAATGATTGGAGGATATCTGCTACCCTTTGGTCACCAATTTGACTGAAAGACTGAAAATTCTCTGATGATTGCTGCCCATATTGTTGTTCTTAACCAATGAGGAGTCTCTCTGTCCAGTGACAGACTTGAAGCAGATGTGTTAGGAGTAGGATAAATGCATTATTAATAGGGGCTGGTGTAGTGGCTCAGTAGACTGGCCCTTCATGTGTAGTGCTGGCATCTCATATGGACACTGGTTCTAGTCCTGGCTACTCCATTTCCAATCCCCTGATGATGGCCTGAAAAAGCAGTCCATGGACCCCTGTACCCATGTGGGAGATCCGAAGGAAGTGTCTTTGAATTGGTTCAGTTCCATCCATTAGGGAATGAAACATTAGATATAGAATTTTTCTCTTTCTTATTTTCTATCTGTAAATCTGACTTTCAAATAAAAATCAATAATTTTTTTTAAATAGCACAAACTTTTTTTGAACAGGTAAACTGAATGAGTTTACCTCTTCATCTACAACTTCCTCATTTTTGTAGCAATAATAAAAATACTCTGCTTGTAGAATTGCTTTAAAGAATAAAATTATAAGCACAAAGATCTCATACATCAAGTACTCCTCAAGCCTTAGAAAAAGGTGACTTACCATAAGCCATGTCCTATACTCAGAGTTGGAGTTCTGTGTGTCAAGCTGAGTCTGTTCCATAGGGGGTTTGTAGTGGTGTTGGGTAATTCACAAATTCTTCCATAAAATGTAATTGTATTTGCTTCATTCATTTACAAATTCAATATCGTGCAAGCCATGTAGGTTTTAATGCCTATTTTATTAGGACCTCAGAAGCAAAAAGACATGACCCATGGCTCCTTATTCTCAGGAGATTAGTTCTTAGAAATGTATTATAAAGAGCTATGGTAAATTATGTGAAGAGGGATAAAGGGAGATGCAATACAGGGATATGTAAACTAAAGTGATACTATTTTTGAAAGTGTGAAAGATGCCTGAGCATATAAGGAAAGGATCTCAAGCACATAAAGGAAAGAGTGTGTTCAAATGTTGAAGTTGGAGTGATTGTTGAAAAATCCTATGAAGAGATGGTGGTGGATAGATGGAGTAGGGAAGCAAGACTAAAGCCAAATCACAAGAGCTATTCATCTGTCCTGAGAGCTCTGGGACAGGAAAGCAGCATGTCCACTATATTGTCTTAAGGATACCTCCCTAGCAGGTGCTGTAGCACAGAGGATTAAGCCACTGATTGACAATCCATGTCTCACAGGAGAGTGCCAGTCTGAGAGCCAGTTACTCTGCTTCTGATCCAGCTCTCTGCCTATGTGCTCAGGAAGCAGCAGATGATGGACCAAGTTCCTGGGAGAATCAGATGGAATTCTCAACCCCTAACTTTAGCTTGTCCTAGCCTTGGAAGTATGGGCATTTGGGGAATGAAATATTGGATGGAAGATTCTCTCTCCCAGTGTGTGTGTATGCATACATGTGTGAGTGATACTGTCTTTCAAATACATACATTTTAAAATCTTTCTAATAGCTAAGTGGAAAGCTATTGGGGAAAATAAACAAAACAAAATGAGTCAGAGAATTTTGTAAGAAGATGGACAGTAGTTTAGAACAGAGATAGATCTGTTTGTCAAAACTATCCCATGGTGATGAGGGTGCAGAAGATCAGCTAGAGAAATCTTGGTTAACATAGGGACACAGACTCAGGACAGTTCTGCCTTGCGTTTCTAATTTGGATGACTAAATTTTTAAAAATCAGCATATTTTTAGACCTGATTCTCAAAATTGCATATAAAGAGATTATCTAAAATTGCAAACTTCTCTATAACCTAAAAAAAAAAAAAGACCATTTTTCTTGGCTTATGAAATCACTGCCCCAGAATGCAATAGCAAGAATTCACTGCTGTGATTGAAGGTTCTCATTTCAAATGTGATTAATTAAAAAGAAGAATCAGCTACCGTAAACGCTAGTTGTGATTGAATTTGTTCAAAACAAACAAAAATTATATAATAACCCTGGAGACTTGATTCAATATCATATTGCTTCACTGTACAGTCTTTTGGAAAAGAACTCTTTCAAACTATTGAATATGGCCTTGATTGAAGGTGTCTATTTATGGACATGGGAAAAGAGAACAGAAAATAAAACCCCACAGGGCTTCAGTGGTGGGGCTAGGACCAACAAGACCATAAATCAGAATCTTTTTACTGGTCACGACTGAAGTGAAAAATGTAGGAGCTGGAAATGCAAGAAGATTTAAGATGCCTTAAATTTCCTCTTAACCTGCTTTGTGCTGGAGTCCTTAATATTACAATGAGAAGAAAAATTAAAAAGAATAATCTGAGCTTTCTTCAACAAACTTTAGCACTTACAAAGTCTGATTGTGCCAACTCCCAGTTAGTGAATACTTGTGTAATTTTAAGTATGAAGTACGGTCCTATTCAAGTTGAGGTCTGTCAGAGTTTCAACCAAGGGTTATTACACAGGACTGTATGTATGTGTATGGCAGGGTGATCTCAAGCTGGTAGATTCTCTGAGTTATATCAACAGCTAGTTTAGATGGTTGAAAAAGACATCCAAGGATAATACATTATAAATACATTATGTTATTGAGCAACAGAATGTATATTATGATTATTATTTGGCATCTGACCTCATTTTAAGTTGACATTAAATTCCCATTACTTGCTCATGAATAATTAATTCTGTGGTTTATCCTCTAGGTTTAAAGTATCAATTGCTGTTATTTTCAGCAATTGTCTAGTACTGTTTGGTTTCTATTCAGTCACTGTTTGAGGATTTTGTACTTAGATGCTGCTTGGCATGATGATGGTAAATAAAGCAAACACAGCCCTTGATCTATGGAGCTCATTGCTCAAAGAGGAAGCCACGTATACAGTTTAGTGTGCAATTGTGAAAGGAATGACAGAAAACACGATGAGGTGTTTAAAATGTATCTTTGAAAGGCAGAGGTATATAGAGAACAACAGGAGAGAGACAAAGAGAGAGAGAGAGAAACTCATTTTCCATCCACTGATGACCCAATATGACCAGAACCTGCCCAGGCTGAAGCCAAGTACCTGGAACTTCACCACGCCTTCTCCCCGAGTGGCAGGCTTCCAAATAATTGAGCCATGACCTGCTGTCTTTCATGGGAAGCTGGAGCACAACAGCCTGGTCAGGTACCAGGGACTCCGGTATGGGATGTGAGTGCCCCAAGAAAAAGCCTAATTTGTTGCACCACAATATGTCCATGAGGTAAAGTCATTGCATAAACTCTGCACACTAGGAAAGAGTTAGTCAAACACGTATTTGGAAACGAGTTTTATAGAAGAGAGGGTAGCATTATGAAAGTCATGGGGGTAGAAAACATTTGAGACAAGCAAGAGAGAACGGAGTGAGACAGGAATGTTGAGCTGGGAATGGGTGTGTCTTGGTGGAGAGCTGTCTCAAAGGCACAGTGAGCAATCCCACACACAGTCATTCAGAACGGGGTGCGGTGTCCCAGCTCCAGACTCTCAACTGTTTTCTATGTGAAAGGGAAGTCATTGAATGAATTTAAAGAAGTATTTTCATTTGATTTATAAGTTTAATAATTTTGCTTTTTAATTTTACAGTTTTTCAAGTGTAGGACTTCCTTCCTTTCCCCGCACTGTTCTCCCCCACCCATTGTCCCCTGGTTTTTACAATAGTATTGCTTCTCAGCTGTAGTTGTGACCCCTGAATTCTGCTCTTCATGCAGGTCATGATGTTATAGGTATAAATGGTGGTAGAGACTATAGTATTTAATTGTCTAGGTGTATTTAGCAGTTTTATTGGGCCCTACTTTTATTTGGGACTAGAAGTACTGGAGGTCTTTGATTGCTGATACTCTGGTCTCCATTATATCATTCGTTTGTGGGATTACAACTGTGTACTGTTCTATGTTTATATCTTTTTGTTTTGTATTTTTGTTTTGTATTTTGGATAGAAGTTTTCTTATATCAGAGCAAACATATGACCTTTGTCCTTTTGGAATTTGCTTATTCCACTGAGCATAATGGTCTCCAGTTGGGACCCTTGATTGCAAATGGTGGGCTTTTGTTCTTTTTAACGGCTGAGTAGCATTTCATGGGTAGATGTAGCATGATTTCATCATCCAGCCCTCCTCCAGTGGGCATCTAGCTTGTTTCCATGTTTTTGTTATTGTGAAGTGTGCTGCAATGAATATAGAGATGCAGGCTGCCTTTTTGTACATACACATCACTTTCGGATAATTTCCCAGGTGGAGGATTGCTAGGTCCTAGGGTATATACATTTTCAGTTGCCTGAGTACTCTGCAGAGTGACTTCCATCAAAGAAGCACCGGTCTACAATCCCACCACCAGTGGGTTAGTGTTCCTATGTCTTGTTAAAGCAAAGAAATAGCCTGGGCAGAGTTTTGTTTTACAGCTAATATTTTAATGTTGCATAAAGTGGTAAATCACACATTTTGTTTTTCTTGATTTACTCCTGGCCCTCAAGTAATAATCCATCAAAATCTATGCAAATACAAAATAATCTGTTACTCAGCCTCACTGAGTGTTAAAAAAAGAAATGTCTAGTCTTTGAGTTGCAACAGAATTTAGGATTGACTATGTGGATACTACTGAGTTTTTAGCTACACTCTTGCAAAACATCTTATTGCTTAATTGATAAAAGTTAAATATTGGAGTGTTTACAAAACTGGAATGAGTAGCATTCTGTTTTATTAAATATTAAATCAAAATATTCAGGTTAAATCAAGGTTATCCAGAAATTCCATTGTATTTCAAGCCTTATCCAAATCTTTTCATGTATATTTGGATGGAAAATTTGGTTTTTTACTCTATGCTTAGTTTTCCTTTTTCCCCAGAGCACATGTTTTCTATGAAGTTTCTGAAGATCCCCTCAGATATTGGTCAAAACTATGCAAGTGATTCGAGCTACAATGGTTTCCATGTCTGCATCCTTGGACCAGCTTCTGATTGCTGGCTCCTGGAGGGTGGACAGTGTGGTCAGCTTTCACTCAGCAGCTTCCCTCGATCTATCTTGCAGGTTACACAGGTGCCCAGTGTGAGACCCAGCTGGATGCATGCAGCAGTCAACCCTGCCAGCCCGCGGGGGAGTGTGTGCAGCTGTCCTCCAGGCAGCGCGAGGGAGAGGGAGGTGTTGCTGGGCTACCTGCCTTGGGCAACCTTGAAGCCGCAGGCTTTGTTTGCATCTGTCAGCCAGGATTCACAGGTGAGGCCAAGGACCTGGAAACGATTCCGTGGCATTTTATGCCCTGTGCTGTGGTGCAGAGGGTCCCCCTTGTGGTGAAGATAAAGGAGTGTTTGATTCCCAGATCGCCCCTCAATTCCCGAGGAAAATGAATTGTTCCCCCTCCTACCGCAGAGAGGCTATACTGGAAATTGAATTGCATCTAACTAGTTTGCCTTTTAAAAGCAAATTTTCAGAGTTTTTATGCTATTTGATAATGATGTTAAATGTTATCTGTCAGATTGCTAAAGAAAGCTGTGTACTTGTAGTTACATTGGAGACAAATACGTAACTTAAATTGAGTTCCACTATTTTGTAGGTAATGTTGTTCCACATTTCAAATTTCCATCGCTCTCGCATTGCTTTTACAGCCTGTTGACTCTGAAACTCAGAAGAAATTTGCATTCTTGCTTCTCAATGAATAGATGTGCTTGCATCTGCTGCACGTTCTGGAAATTTTCAGAAATTTTGAGGCAGTTTCCAGTTTGTTACTGGGTACCCTCGGTGGTGATGTAGATAGCAATGAGAAAATAATCACCATCTAGCTTATTATCTTATTTCTTTATGAATGGATTAAATCAAAGTTGGTAAAATAAATGGAAATTATTTGGTTTTGATTGAGGACTATTTAAATAAGTGTGTCACTTTGAGTTTTAAAATTTGACAAGTTCTTCTTTTTAACATTTTGCCGTGTTCACTTCAACTGTAGATATGATACATACATATACTTAAATATGCTATGTTTTTTCTTGAAAACAGATGTATTAGTAGTATAAAGTGAGAGGCTTCTGAGAAAAGTAAGCGAGGAATAGGAATGAAAGCAAACAGCCTTTGAGAGTTCTTGAAGTGCTCGGGCTTGGACTTACGTCTCGGGGCAGCGTTTGTTGTAAGGTTGTTGCACAATTTGGTTTCCATTTTCACTGTCCCTTCACACAGGACAAAAGGAAAGTCTCGGCCGTTCTCCTGGTAAGTGATCTTTTCTCTGAGAAACTTCCAGCTTACATGTTTTTTCACTACACGTCTAAAAGTCACGGCTAGTAAATCGTGATAAAGAGTATGAAATAAATCTTGCAATTCCCGCCTATGTGGGCTGCTAAATACAAACACAGAGTCTACAAACATGGAAGTCTCTGGAATATGTCTATGTGTTTACTCCTCCCTTGGGAATATTTAAATTTCCTGTCTCTGTTTCTTACTGCTTCCTCTTTTTCTTATTTCTTTCTAAATCATTTGGTTTTGGTATAGTGTATGCGTTTTTGTGACAGGCTTTGCATTCTCCTTGTACCGGAGTTGGGGTGGTACCTTTTTAAAAATATTGAACTTAGAGTTACAAAGAGGGAATTCTATCAAACTCAGAGGTCATTGCAAACACTGCTTCATTCAATAGATGGACATGGTGACCAACAGGCTTGCAAACACAAGCAGGAGAAGCTGTAGAATCTTCCAGAAAAGTGTGTTGGCCTGATTTCTAAATAGCTTTTAAGAAAGACTTTGTGAGACAAAATGTCCTGATGCAATCAGATCCTTGCAGCTTAAGGGCATAGTATATTTTTCCCTCAAGTAATCCTCCAAAAAAGTTTTTGGCATCCATTATCCTTCAGATGGTGGGTCAAAATTTAGCCATACAACCAGGCTTAACTTAGTAAAGATTGGAAAATCCAGACTTACCTTGCACACAAAAACAAAAACCGGTTTTGTGGACACTTATCCAAACAAATTCATAGCAAGAGTCAAAAGGCGTATGGAAAATGGAGGGGTTTTTTTGTAAATTGTTTTTATTTTTGTCCACTTGGAGTTAAACAGGAGCCTAGAGCTATCATACTGTGAATTTCTCATTTAAGAAAATTATTTAAACCCATAGGAATAAGGAACAGACAATGTTAAACAAAATACAAAATGTGTAGTAAGCTAAGTGTATCTCTCTCTGGCTTATTGACTTTTTTAACTTTAATTTACTTATTTATTTTATTAATTACATTTCCTTTTGTGACACAGTTTCATAGGCTCTGGGATTCCCCCAACCCCTGCCTGTACCCTCCCCCAATGTGGATTCCTCCACCTTGTTGCAGTATTACAGTTCAAACCCAGTCAAGGGAAAATGGATTTTTAAAACGATCTATTTTCCCAACTCTCACCCAGTACAGGGGATGCAGGAAGCTCCCCTGCTGGGCCACTACTCCCACCAGTGAGCCTGAGAACAGGGATTGGAGGCAGACCAGGCCAAGCAGGGCTATAGCATCTGTTGGGCTTCATGTAAGCTGGTTCAGAGACAAGCCAGGCTGGACAGGCTGTGCCTACTTATACATGCAGAAGCCAGAATGGGTGAAGGTTGGTTGGGCTTTGCTGCAGTATAAGCTGGCACATGTGAGAAATTCTTTCAAGCTAAACTGCAGTACCACCTGGAGACTTCAAGATCCAGGAGTGGGAATGAGGCCATTAGGGAAGCAGTGGGCACTCCCTCTTGAGTTGCCACTGTGAATATGAAAACAAGGACAGGCACGGCTAAACAGAGAGTGACACCCACCAGCAGGTGTGTGGGATAGAAGGAGGGGGTCTAGTTGGGTTGAACTAGGCTTCTATGCCCTTTGACATGCAAGAGAGCTGAATGGGATGTGGGGCAGACAGGACCAGTCTGCTGTACGTAGTGGGAAGCATGGGAACTAGGGCAGTGGGTGGGCCTTTTGGGGGTTACTGTGGGTTGCTCTGACTAGGCTACAACTCCCACTGGTTGGCGTAGGAGGAAAAGGTGCAGTGGGCAAGATCGGGATGGACTGCAACACCCATTAGTTTGCATAGAAGACAGGGCTGAAGACAAGTGACCTAGCAATTGCAACTAACAGTGTGCGTGTAGGCCAAATTGGGTGACGAACTATACCAGACCCTGTATTGACATGCATACACAAGAGTCAGGTCTGGGATTACCTCAGATGAAGTTTCTTTGGGAATCCTCCAACTGAATGCTAGACTCAGAATTCCAACCATGGGAAAAATCGCAGATTCCATGATCTGACTGTAGAATGTATGTGACAGAGTTGGACCTTCTCAGTGGCTTAGACCCAGTGGACAGCATATCCAGGTGCAAATGGAAGATATGGCAGTACACTGCAGCCTGCAGAGGACTCCTGGTACCACCACAGAGGATGGAGGACAGAACAAATCGATCAACTGCCCCAGCAAATAGTTGGCAGCGAACACCTGGGCGAACATAGATCCTAAGGTGGACTATGTCAATCAGTGGAGTCTGGGGAGACTTCATCGTGATTGGCGTGGCAAGATTGGTAGCAATACAAAACTATTGAACTATCAAAACCATTTGAGCAGCACCTTCCGAGCATGCCCCACATTAGGGACTCTGGGATGGTTGGGAGGTTGGGTGTGGCTTCTACAATTTTCTCTCCCCCTCCCCAGATACAAGAAGGAAAAATGAGACTGTGAAAAAAACAAAACAAACAAGATAGTGAATTGTGATCTGATATACAAATAGGATTAAAAGAGATTAAAAGTCCATTATCATAATATCACCAAAAACAAATGAAAAAGAGTTGTTTTCATTGGAAACACAGATTTACAGAGAGAAGGAGAGACAGAAAGATCTGTCCACTGGTTTACTCCCCAAGTGGCCTCAACGGCTAGAACTGAGTTGATCCTAAGCCAGGAGCCAGGAGTTTCTTCCAGGTCTCCCATGTGGGTGCAGGATTGCAAGACTTTGGACTATCCACCACTGCTTTCCCAGACCACAAGCAGAGAGCTGGATGGGACATGGAGTAGCCGGGACACAAACTGGCATCCAGGTTGGATCCCAGTGTGTGCAAAGCGATGATTTAGCTACTGAATCATCACACTGGGGTTGGAAAATGAATTTAAAGCTGAATGTATTTTAATTTAGAAAGGTTTAAAAGCCATTTTTAAAAATTTTGTGTGTTTTACATGAGCTTATTGAAGATCCATCACAGCTGGATTTTGAAGTGTGTTTCTCGTAAGCAACACATTAAGCAAAATTTGCTGAGCTATTCCTTTTATTTGTTCAATCTATGCCTTATAATTAGAATACCTAGAATATTTACCTTGGGCTGATTTTAATGCATGAGAGTTTATCTATGTCTAATGATAAATTTGCTTTGATTTTTGCATTTTTCTTTACTCGACTTCTTGTGACTGTCTTGACTGTTTTTGGGGATTTCATCTTGCTTTGTTTAGTGCTTTTGTGGATATTGTGTTGTGCCACTTTTCAGAATAATTACCCCCAGTGTCACTCTGCACAGCTTGTTTTCTGTTTTAAGAGTAGGATGGGAATTCTACTTTGCTTGAGATCCTCCTCATTAAAAGTATATTGTCCTAAGGATCAGAAACAGTAGTATAGTGTTTATTTTAGCAACTTTATGATTCAGAAAATTATTGAAGAGGATATCCTACTGTATTTTACCTGTATTTTTGCTGTTTCTATTAGATTTTCTAAATCCCCATGTGGCTTTAAGATTCTTCTGTTTTCATTTATAGATTTCCCTTTAGCTATTCTTTATAAGTAGGCATGCTAGTGGCAATTTCTCTAAGCGTTTCTTTGTTTGAGAAAATCTTGGTATTTATTGGTATTTATTTATTGGTATTTATTCCTGAAGGGTAGTTTGTTAAATGTAGAATTTGTGGTTGACAGTTCTTTTTTCAGCATTTGAAAATTCCATACCACTTCCTTCTGCACTCCATGGCTTCAAATGAGAAATTCGCTCTCATGGAAATTGGCGTTCCCTGTTGAAAATGATGAATATGACATTTCTTTCCAGCCACTTTCAGTACTGCTATCTTCATCTTCAGTTTTTGGATATTTGCTTACGATGTGCCTTGGTGTTTGCTTCTGCTTGGGATTTATTCTTCTTTGAAATCTGTGGACTTTGCTGTATTGCCACATTTGGAAAATTCTCAGTCAATACTCCTTTGAATATTTTTCAACTCCACTCCCTTCTCACTTTGGGACCATGATCATATAA